GAAGAGGCTGTGATAGCTGCACAGAAATATCTTACATGCTTTAAATCTTGTTTAATCTTTCAATAGGACTGCAGCTTATTACGATTACTGGCACGTTTCACAGCCAATAAAATTCCTTCGCAATGTGAAAACAAACAAGAAACAATCACTCTTCATGACTAGAATGCCATTCAGAAGATGTAAAAGTATGACCCATTAACTCATATTTACTGCCAACACAGCTCCAACAAGCCCCTTGACTGGGCAATATGGCACCAGTCCAGTTGATTTGGCCTAAATGCACAACTGGAAGTAAACTCACAAGAGCTGAAATTATTTGTCGATTAGCTAAATGAGAGAGAAACAAATGGCAATTACATTTTGACAATGGATTAATTGTCTTTCCCCCTAGTTCTAACTTCTTAGCTGCAAGGATTGTGTTTCTTCATTTTAGTTGGGAAAAAAAGGAGACTTTTCAGGTTTGGTCAGATAAAACAAGCTATCTGAAGCATTGCCTTGGGCTTCAGGACACTGTCATCTTCCACTGTTTCCTGACAGGTTACAGATGATTACCAACTTTGCACAAACATCATCCTGCAGTGTAATTCGAATACCCAAGTGAAACAATAATGATAAGCAAAGCACAGTTTTCAGCCGGTAAACGCTAAGACAGTGCCATCCCTGCAGAGCTGGCACCCTGCACTGGATCCCGGTCAACTATACAGGCTGCCTATGCTGGTGATCCTGGTTAAAATGACTACACCAGGGTGGCATCGCCTCCACTCCACCCAATGCTGCAGACGTTCCCATCCTGATTCTCCAGCATTATCACCATAATGCTCACCTGGTGTGGTTGAGCCTGCATTTTAAGGAACACCACACTAAATGAATCGCAGCATCAGTGTGAGGTGAAAATGTTGGTTAACAGCATGGTCTGGACACACACACACACACACACACAGATGACAGTGCCTTTTCCATGTTCCTCTTTCAGGTTCCAACCCTCAAAACGAGCCTATCTGCGACAGAACCAGCTACCGTGTAA